CACAAAGGATATGAGACCTGAGCCAGACCTGAGTAAGTGGGGGGATATAGGATGAGCACTGGAGGCAGAGAAAGGTAACTCGGCTGAGTGGCTGGTTCATGTCAGCACCCGCCTAACACAGTGCTTGACACACCAGTAGATCAAAGCACTGAGTAGCTGGCTTTACTCAGACTATTCCCTCAGCCTGCAGTGCCTTCCTCTGGCTTTAAGTTATGCTAAAATACAGGACCCGTTTGAAATGCCAGTTCTTCTGGGAAGCTGGGTACTGATCTTTGCTATCAGACTGGATTCCTTCTCTTGATGCTCTCCAAATACTTTCTTTATATCTCTGTCATAGCCTAATTTCCATTCTCATACAAACTGCTTATTGAATTATAGCATCTGTTCTTTCTTCTTTACTTCAGAAGAATTATATACCATTCCCTCATCAGGAGGAAGTTACATTTTTTAAACAACTTTAGATTAATGGAATTAAAGTATCTAAAGTGAGTGTTAGTAAAAAGCTTCCTACTTGCATAGGGTTTACAAATCCCTTAAAAATCCTGATATGAAAATACTAAAAGTAGAAAAACATAACCTTACTTGTATTCACTGAAAAGAATAAAAGCATTGTGCCATTTGTTCAATGCTGAATTTTCCTTCCCATTTTATAAAAAAAGGTATTTTAACCAAAAAAACATTAAATGAACTGAAGAGAATTCAGAATTTGAGAGAAGCCAAGAGTATACCTCAGGTGAACAATACTAAACCCTATACTAAATGCTTTGCCTCTATTGGTTTCTTAAATCTGACTCAATCTTTTATACCACCCTGCGAAATGGTACTTTTATTATCCTATTTTACAGTGGTCCAGAGAGGTTAAATAACTCATCTACGGTCACAGGGCTAAGAAATGCAGGAATAAGAATGTGAGGCCACATCTCTCTCACTCCAAAGCCCATAATCTTAACCACAAAACTATATTGCTTCTGAAATGAATCAACTTACAGATTGCTGCTCTCTTTGCCCAAGACACTGACTTTTCTAAATGCAGTCAAATAAATTCTAGGGCTCAATTTCCCCTCTCCACATACACTTCTTACATGCACAGATGCACTAAGCAGGGTCGCTATTTCTATTTAGCAGAATGCAAATCCAGAAATCCAAGCTCTCAACAGACCAGCCTCTCTGTCTCCTGCTGCTGCTATTATATAAACATGGCAGTCCTGTTGTGCTAGACTCACAGAGAAGTAATTTCTCTTGGCTGAGATATTAGGGTTGTTGTCACTCCAATCATATGCTAGTTCTTCCTCCTCCTTCTCATTCAACCATATCAACTCAGCTGTAGCTCTGGAGACAAATTTATGCAGGCTCTGAAGGTGTCTCATCCGGAAGCTTGATGTTTCCTAGACGAAATGAGGATTATAAGGTTAGACTGCCAGACTTTCTTTCATCTATACAAGATAGCACATTTGACTTCAAAGCAAAAAACAACCCGGGAAATGAACTTAGCCTTGCTTTTTCATCTCTGAGTGCTTCCCCATGGACTCAAATTTAGTATAAGTTTGGTACAGGACTCCCAGAGCCTTTGTCAATCCCAGTTAAAAGCTGGAACTCACCGGGTCTTTGTGAGGCTCCCTGGATAAAGAACAATCCTGAGCCTGTCCTACTATGGACAATCTTGAAAGACAGGAATGAAAAACAACAGAAGAGAAATCCCCTTCCTACCAGCCTCAAACCTTTAGCTTTGGTATCTCAAAGCACACATAGCCAGAGCTTTGGTGAAACATGAGAACTAGGGATGGTTCTATTTAATTAAAACTGTCTGGTTTCTGATCCATTAAGAAAATTTAGAAAATATTATAATACATATGAACAATTGCACTGTAAATGATATAACCTAATAAACAGAAGCCAAAGCAGGGCCAAACTGTGAGCTTTCTGAATTAGGGAAGAGAGTTCTTTTGGAGGGAACCAGATTCTCCATAAACAGAACATAAAAGAATTCATCAAAACTCACCTTCAATTTACAATACTGTGTCTCCAATTTCCCAAGAGTTTCAACATAACTGGTATGGAAATTTTGGGACATTTTTCCCTGATAAGAAAGGAATGAAAAAAATATACATGAGAAAAGAGTAAGTAAACTATATCTATGGTATGGTTTCAAATATGTAAATACTATGTCTGCACACAGACAGGGACTGGTTACTCTGAGAAAACAGTAGCTTAGAAAACAAATATCTGGGTCAGATTTTATAGAGCTTGGAGCACCACTGAGTGACAAACAGTTCAGCAGAATGACCATAACTGAGAGACCTCACTGTCTGTGCTGCCAGTAATTCTGGGAGGTTTCTAAGAAAAACTTATGCCTGAACATTCCCAAAGTACTCAACTGCTTTTTTGAAGGGAAGAGTTGAAATTAAGAAGAGGAAGATAATTCAGCCATAAAAAAAGAAACCCTGCCATTTACGGCAACACAGATGGACCTAGAGGGTATTAAGCTAAGTAAAGTAAGCCAGGCAGAGAAAGACAAATACCACATGATTTCACTTATTTATGGAGTCTAAAAACAAAATGAACCAAACAGAGTAGACTCAGAGACACTGAGGAGTGACTGGTGATTGCCATGGGGGAGAGGTTAGGTGGGTGAAAGGGCAAGGGGGATAAAGGAGCACAAAAATCTCAATCATAATATAAGTTGGTCACAGGGATAGAAATGTAGCATGGGAATTACAGCCAATAGTTCTGTAATATCTTTCTGTTTTGACAGATGGTAACTGTCCTAATTGGGGTGAAGATTTAATAATGTACATAACTGTTGAACCACTGTGTTGTATACTTGAAACCAATATAATACTGTGTATCAACGATAATTTACTGAAAAAAAAACACAAAAAATGGAAAAATGGGAAGACATAATATATAGGGGAGAGACTGAGTGAAGAGTTTCTCTATGCCAGTTCTCTTTGCAGGCAGGAAGTAAAGTGGAAAGAGTGTAAGTTTTTGGAGCAGAAAGCCTGTGTTTGGAAACTGCATTCACTATTTACTAATTTGGACCTTAGCTTTCGGTATTAACCCCTTTTAGTAAAAAGGGATTAATAAAAATACCTTTCTCACAAGGGTATGAAGAGCAAAAGAAGCACTTTGTGTGAAAAGGGAATTTGGTGTAAAGTGCTATTCATGGTTAAGATTCTTTTGCAGCCCCTCTGTTAAGTTAGGAACAGTTGCACTGTGCATACTGCCCCAGTACTGGCCCTGCCCCACCTTCCCATAATGGTTTCTGAATGCCACACACCTCATACAACCTGGCCTCTTTGACACTTGAACCCAGTCCTTCCACACTGGCATGGATTTGCTGCTGTGTTTCCAGCTGAAACTCCACACTGGGTAGGTCATTGCCCCACTCTGCTCGCTCCAGTTTCATCTGAAAAAGAAAAAATATGTTTATAATAATTTACTGCTGGATTGGCAGAAAAAGAAAATTTTTAGAATTGATGTTTTGATAGAGTGCTGGAGTAGAGGATTGGGTAAAAGGACATCTAAACTGTCTCTGTCATGGCCTTTTACAAGAAAACATGCCATTATCATGCCCAAGGAGCTGGAAACCAAACCCCAGCAATGACAGTAGCAAAGGCAGCTTTTGGCTGCTGCATTATGGGAATACATTCCTTAATCTACCAACCAGAAAGATGTTCCTATATGCCAAAGATGCTCAGCTTTATAGATTAGGCAATTCCCTTTATGGAGTCTCTGTATTACATGATCACAATGGATATAAGAAATAAATATCTGAAAATATGAAAATTCATTCATGGCATTCACTATTGGCCAATGGAAGATATTTTAAAACAGCTTGTGTTTGGAAGTTTTTATTCCTCAGTACATGAGGAATCCATCATCAGGGGATGGAAAAAATTTAATACAAAACAAAAAGGTTAAAAGGATAAAAAGACCAAGATTGAACTTGAACCACTTCCCTAGAATCCATGTGAACAGTGTGCCTTGGAGTCATGAAACACGGCAGCCCTGCTTGAGCTTAAGAGCAACTACCGACAACAAAAGGGAAAGGAAAGTCCCTCTGACAATGAGGAAATCTCAGAAAAGGTAACCAAGATTTACAAACTCTCCAATTTCTCCCGCAAGCTCTACTTAGAGCACAGTTAGCTGGAGGGAATTGATTCCTAAAGAGCTTCAAATTAGAAAAGCCTAAGCTATTCAGTGTGGGATTTCTGAAGATCTGAGTTGACACTATCCATTTAAAAAATTAAGATCGGGGGAGCTGGATCCCAGGCAGCATCACTAATTAAGAGAACTATACAAGAGGCAGAGAGCAACCTGGTCCTCCTAGAAAAGCTGCTGGATCCAGTAAACTCCAGTGCACTGCACAAGCACTCAGAACACATACCCACCTGCATTTCTTCTACCCAAGACAGTAGTTCATACACAAATCGGAGACTGCCTTCATCTTCAGAGGAGGAGATAGACACAAGTTCAGCCCGAGTCATGGGCTTTCGGAACCAGGAGGTAGAGGAAGAATGGGTTCCCTTGGTCAAAGGTTCTGCCTTCAGATGAGTAGTGGTTAAAGCAGAGGGTGGAACCAATTCAAGTGATGTGAAATGGCCCTTCTGATACATGTTTGTGCACTCTAAACGCAAGGTGACCAGCTCATCCTGTAGACGCATGACCCTGAAATGGAAGGAGAGAAAGAAGGAAGACACTTAAATCTGTAACGTGCTTTTTAAGATGTAATTTTCCATATCCATTTGACAGAGATGAGGTAAAAATAAAAATGAGATCATATCAAGATAAGTGTTTTGTAAAAGAAAAAGTGTTACATGAATGCAAGGTGGTATTAACATCTTTATCGTCCAGAGTTGTCTTTAAGGCAAATGCCAAATTACAGTGTTAATTGGAAGACAGCAAACCAGCTCTGCTAAAACTGTCTGGTTTCTGATCCATTAAGAAAATTTAGAAAATATTATAATACATATGAACAATTGCACTGTAAATGATATAACCTAATAAACAGAAGCCAAAGCAGGGCCAAACTGTGAGCTTTCTGAATTAGGGAAGAGAGTTCTTTTGGAGGGAACCAGATTCTCCATAAACAGAACATAAAAGAATTCATCAAAACTCACCTTCAATTTACAATACTGTGTCTCCAATTTCCCAAGAGTTTCAACATAACTGGTATGGAAATTTTGGGACATTTTTCCCTGATAAGAAAGGAATGAAAAAAATATACATGAGAAAAGAGTAAGTAAACTATATCTATGGTATGGTTTCAAATATGTAAATACTATGTCTGCACACAGACAGGGACTGGTTACTCTGAGAAAACAGTAGCTTAGAAAACAAATATCTGGGTCAGATTTTATAGAGCTTGGAGCACCACTGAGTGACAAACAGTTCAGCAGAATGACCATAACTGAGAGACCTCACTGTCTGTGCTGCCAGTAATTCTGGGAGGTTTCTAAGAAAAACTTATGCCTGAACATTCCCAAAGTACTCAACTGCTTTTTTGAAGGGAAGAGTTGAAATTAAGAAGAGGAAGATAATTCAGCCATAAAAAAAGAAACCCTGCCATTTACGGCAACACAGATGGACCTAGAGGGTATTAAGCTAAGTAAAGTAAGCCAGGCAGAGAAAGACAAATACCACATGATTTCACTTATTTATGGAGTCTAAAAACAAAATGAACCAAACAGAGTAGACTCAGAGACACTGAGGAGTGACTGGTGATTGCCATGGGGGAGAGGTTAGGTGGGTGAAAGGGCAAGGGGGATAAAGGAGCACAAAAATCTCAATCATAATATAAGTTGGTCACAGGGATAGAAATGTAGCATGGGAATTACAGCCAATAGTTCTGTAATATCTTTCTGTTTTGACAGATGGTAACTGTCCTAATTGGGGTGAAGATTTAATAATGTACATAACTGTTGAACCACTGTGTTGTATACTTGAAACCAATATAATACTGTGTATCAACGATAATTTACTGAAAAAAAAACACAAAAAATGGAAAAATGGGAAGACATAATATATAGGGGAGAGACTGAGTGAAGAGTTTCTCTATGCCAGTTCTCTTTGCAGGCAGGAAGTAAAGTGGAAAGAGTGTAAGTTTTTGGAGCAGAAAGCCTGTGTTTGGAAACTGCATTCACTATTTACTAATTTGGACCTTAGCTTTCGGTATTAACCCCTTTTAGTAAAAAGGGATTAATAAAAATACCTTTCTCACAAGGGTATGAAGAGCAAAAGAAGCACTTTGTGTGAAAAGGGAATTTGGTGTAAAGTGCTATTCATGGTTAAGATTCTTTTGCAGCCCCTCTGTTAAGTTAGGAACAGTTGCACTGTGCATACTGCCCCAGTACTGGCCCTGCCCCACCTTCCCATAATGGTTTCTGAATGCCACACACCTCATACAACCTGGCCTCTTTGACACTTGAACCCAGTCCTTCCACACTGGCATGGATTTGCTGCTGTGTTTCCAGCTGAAACTCCACACTGGGTAGGTCATTGCCCCACTCTGCTCGCTCCAGTTTCATCTGAAAAAGAAAAAATATGTTTATAATAATTTACTGCTGGATTGGCAGAAAAAGAAAATTTTTAGAATTGATGTTTTGATAGAGTGCTGGAGTAGAGGATTGGGTAAAAGGACATCTAAACTGTCTCTGTCATGGCCTTTTACAAGAAAACATGCCATTATCATGCCCAAGGAGCTGGAAACCAAACCCCAGCAATGACAGTAGCAAAGGCAGCTTTTGGCTGCTGCATTATGGGAATACATTCCTTAATCTACCAACCAGAAAGATGTTCCTATATGCCAAAGATGCTCAGCTTTATAGATTAGGCAATTCCCTTTATGGAGTCTCTGTATTACATGATCACAATGGATATAAGAAATAAATATCTGAAAATATGAAAATTCATTCATGGCATTCACTATTGGCCAATGGAAGATATTTTAAAACAGCTTGTGTTTGGAAGTTTTTATTCCTCAGTACATGAGGAATCCATCATCAGGGGATGGAAAAAATTTAATACAAAACAAAAAGGTTAAAAGGATAAAAAGACCAAGATTGAACTTGAACCACTTCCCTAGAATCCATGTGAACAGTGTGCCTTGGAGTCATGAAACACGGCAGCCCTGCTTGAGCTTAAGAGCAACTACCGACAACAAAAGGGAAAGGAAAGTCCCTCTGACAATGAGGAAATCTCAGAAAAGGTAACCAAGATTTACAAACTCTCCAATTTCTCCCGCAAGCTCTACTTAGAGCACAGTTAGCTGGAGGGAATTGATTCCTAAAGAGCTTCAAATTAGAAAAGCCTAAGCTATTCAGTGTGGGATTTCTGAAGATCTGAGTTGACACTATCCATTTAAAAAATTAAGATCGGGGGAGCTGGATCCCAGGCAGCATCACTAATTAAGAGAACTATACAAGAGGCAGAGAGCAACCTGGTCCTCCTAGAAAAGCTGCTGGATCCAGTAAACTCCAGTGCACTGCACAAGCACTCAGAACACATACCCACCTGCATTTCTTCTACCCAAGACAGTAGTTCATACACAAATCGGAGACTGCCTTCATCTTCAGAGGAGGAGATAGACACAAGTTCAGCCCGAGTCATGGGCTTTCGGAACCAGGAGGTAGAGGAAGAATGGGTTCCCTTGGTCAAAGGTTCTGCCTTCAGATGAGTAGTGGTTAAAGCAGAGGGTGGAACCAATTCAAGTGATGTGAAATGGCCCTTCTGATACATGTTTGTGCACTCTAAACGCAAGGTGACCAGCTCATCCTGTAGACGCATGACCCTGAAATGGAAGGAGAGAAAGAAGGAAGACACTTAAATCTGTAACGTGCTTTTTAAGATGTAATTTTCCATATCCATTTGACAGAGATGAGGTAAAAATAAAAATGAGATCATATCAAGATAAGTGTTTTGTAAAAGAAAAAGTGTTACATGAATGCAAGGTGGTATTAACATCTTTATCGTCCAGAGTTGTCTTTAAGGCAAATGCCAAATTACAGTGTTAATTGGAAGACAGCAAACCAGCTCTGCTTATATAACTCCTGGATGGTGTAACAGAACAAACAACAGATTAGGGGCCAAAAGATATGGGTCTTTGTCTTGGCTCTGTACAAGCTACATGACTTAGACGATCCTCATCCCCTCTGTAGGTCTTGGTTTCCTCTTGTAAAAAATGATGCACTGGATCACCAGCAATTCTAAACAAGACGTGGCACCACACACCCTGCAGGTCACAGTGAAATATGTGGGGTGTTAGAAGAGCCACAAAGACAAGGGAATCCTACAGGTGTTTAGTGGGCAGGGCCTGAAATAAGGGGAAACCACCCTCCTTCAAAGAATCTTCCAGCCCGAATACCTGTAGGATCCCCACTGAGACACTGACCTCTAGGATCTAAGTTATAAGATTCAGTGCTGACTCTTGATCTAGGAGCCTCAGTAGTAAGTAAGCTGTCTGTTTGAGTCCCATGTTCCTCACCTAAATGCCAGCTCTTCCAGCTGGTAATAATTCTCATCCCGTAGGATCTGCAGATCCACTTGCAGCTGTCTGATAAGACCTTCACATTCCTGAATGAACATGATGACATCAGACTCGCACTGTACTGGTTGTCCTGACTCCAAGTGAGCAGCATCCTGAGAGAGGGAGAGTAGGAGTGGGAAAAATGTCATTGCTCCTACCCAGTAGGACTGATGGAGCCACAGGGCCCACTGCAACTCCAAGAGGAAGGAACACAGCTGGATGCCCCAGCTGTTAACTTCAATCATTAGAGGCCAGGATGAGAAATGGAACAGATGTGACCTAAGAGGTGAGACAAAACAGTCAGAGACTCACAGCCTGCAGTGTATTCTTAGCTAGTGTCAGTTTTTCTTCACAGTTCAAAGCACCATTCTGGATTTTGTTTGCAATCTGTAGCAGCAATTCCAGCCTATAAAAAGATAAAAACCACAATCAAGTGCAGGGCTCAAAGTGGCCCAGTAAGTACTGTCAGGTCACCCCAGGCTCTGAACCCACCTCTCTACAGCTGGTCGAAGGGACTTCTCTCGCTCCAGCATCTCGATGATGAGCTTTCCCCACTCTTCTTCCACATCATTAGGGTGATAACCTTGAGGCAGTTTAATTCGGCCAAATTCAATCCACACCTAAAAAACCCAGATACTCTTGTAGTCCACAAACATAGCCATGCCCTCAGGCCCCAGTTTTTATGTGTTCTTTGTACATCACTTCTTGCCTCTGCCCAGCACTCAGCAGTTTTCCCATTGTCTCATAAGAGAAAACAATGGAATATTCAGCAGTACCTCACTGAGGTGAGAACAAAAAAAAGCTCCTTTAAAATACAGGGTCTACCTACTATAAATCTTTCCATCCCTTCCATATTTTCCATAAATCCTCTCTGCCTTCTCAATAATCCTCATTCCGGCAAGGTCAAATGCCCATCACTGTAGCTTCAAATTCTCTAGGAATCAAAGTGTGAAAGGGAAAGAAAGAACTGCCCTCTTAGAAATAAGAAAACTCATCCACAAAACTCAAGATTACCGAATAAATGTATGCCATGTTTCTACAGGCCCTTTAAAAAAATACAGATGGTTGGTACTGCCCCTTTACCACGAAATTTCAAGACCAGCCTGAGAGTGAGGCCAGATCTGTCACCCTGAGAATATTGCTATAAATGCAGGTTGGGAAGAGGATGGAGGGAATCTACTGAAGAGGCAACAGCAGGGCAAACGAGCAGACTACAAGTCCCAGCAGAGGATAAGCATCCTTACCTCTAATAATTTATATAATTCCTCAATTCTTCCTTTTTCCCTCTCCTTGGCCAGAATTTCTGTTTCTTTGAAGTGTACATATTGGTTATAAAGTGCCTGAAAAATTAATTATTTGGCAAATGTATGAATGGATGTAAGCAACATGGCCCATTTTTTCATACCACCTCCCCAGCAGCAACAAGCTTTGAGACTTAATCCCTAGAATGAATTTATAAAAAATGATTTAATCCCATGACTTTACCTTTAGTTCAACAGGGTTCTGGGGAAAAGATTTATCTGACATCAATATTGTATGTTGTTTGATCCAGGGAATGAGGGAGTCCACTCGGCTTTGGTATTCTTGCCACCTGGAGTCTACTTCCTGTTACCAAGAGGTAGATATCACACACCTTGTGATTAGCAGTATGTGAGACAAGCCCAGGAGAAAGTAGTTTAGGTCATCCCAAACCACATAAAACCCTGTCCTGTCTACACAATTGCTCAGTTTAATGCTCAGAGTCCCAGTTTCAAAGCTCCTCAAGGGCCCTCAAGATGGGATTCAATTTCCTGACACCTAGAATAGTCTATTCTGGATGCTACAAAATTAGAGATTTCTAAACCAATCCCAGAGACCAGGACAATAATGATATAAAAAGATGATGTAGATTTAGTTTGCTCTGTATACAGTAAGTGCTTGAGAAACATGGTCCAATCAATACAGTCCACCCAAACAAATTAAAGTCAGAAGGTATTAAAATGTTCTTTTACCGTAGCACTGATCCCTTCTCCACCCTCAGGGACTTTAGGGAAGGCATCGTAAATTGAAGACACGTAAGTGATTACAGACTTTTCATCTGGAGATGGCACATCCACATCTGAAAGAGAAAGAGTAAGGAATTTCTTTATCAGAAGAAAGAAATCTGCCAGGAAAAGGAACAGTGTATATGTGCCAAACATACTCAACTTCTGTTAACTCTCACCTTCTGCATCCAGTAACCGGGTGACTCCCAGTCTTTCTGCCACTTCGAAAGCCTGCTCCAGATTCTCTCGGTTACTTTGGATTTGGACCCTCTCCATATCTACCAGGTCAGGCCTGTAAAAGTCCACCCAGGCACATGAAAGGCCACCACCTATACATCACATATGATTTCACAAAGAAAACCTCTTAAACGTACTGAGAGTTGGAAAATACTGAGTTAGAAGAAAAGCCAGATGTTTAGAAGATATGAATCCCATTTTAAATTACATGTCAGGAATCCAATGCTCCCTAATTCTAAACTTATACAACAGAAGGTTTGTTGGCACATAGTGAAAATTGGGGCATGTTTATGGCCAATAACAGTGTAATCGTTTTGATTTTTGTCACTCAAAATTTCTGTCTTCCTCACTCATCTCCCTTCAGTCACCTGCTGCTCCTCATCCACTCCAAGCAAGCCTCCACTTCAAGGCCTTTGCCCTTGCTATTTCCTCAGCTGATACACACTGACACTAGAGGCCTGCATAGCTCCCTGCTTCATGGCTCTGCTCCGTTATCCTAATCAGAGAGGCCATTTCCAACTCCTCCGTCTGAAAAACCACAATCCTGTCACTCTCTTATCCCTCCTCTGCACTAACCACTGTATGGCAGCATGTGTTTATTTGTTTATTGCCTAATAAACTAGTGTCTAGAACTGTAGTAGTTCAATACATATTCCTTTTGAAGTAAATAAATCAAAGTCTTGATTTTTGGTAGAGGGGAAAAGTGGCATTATAACTAATTACAAACAAGAAATGAGAAGAAGCCCCTCCAGGAACACTGAAATTCTACTGTACTTACCTGTATCGGTGAATGAGTGCATTGAACATCTTCCCATCACTCCAGCAGGAGGAAAAGTTGGTGCATTTGATTCCTGTGTAACAAGCTGTCACCTTCTGGGTCCACAGGAGCAGCTTTTCCTTGGCTGACATGTCCCCTGACTCTCCACTAATGTAGATGTCAGAGATCTGTGAAAAGATAGGACACCGAGTAATTGAGTATAAATAACCTTCTTCTCTTCATGCATACGGCTCTTAACAGAAGAAAGAGATCCAAGGCTGGCAGCACTCATATATTCACTGTCTCTGGTAGTAAAAAAAAAAAAATGCAAATTAAAACCAGGAGAAGTAATTTTCAAATATCAAATAAGGAAAGGTTTTTGGGGGTTTTTTTTTTAACTGTTACTGCTTAGTATTGGAGAGAATATCTATTCTGGATATTCTATCTATCCTAGATATTCTCCTATAATGACACTGGTGAGAGTAAATGATATAACTTTCTCTGGATAGCAGTTACAAATTGAAAGTCTTAAAATATACATATAATTGACAGGAAGCCATGAGAGATATGTGCAAAAATTTTATACAAGAATGTTTAAACATTATAGCAAAAAGCTGAAGAGGTTAAACTCTAATAAGGGATAGACTGGTTACAAATTAAAGGACATACACACAGAATTTTTTGGAGCACTTAAGCACTTAAAAAGGTAAGTTTTAGGAAATTTTAATGACATACAAAAGTAATCACCAAATTTTATGAAAAGAGAAAACAAACAAAATAATATGTATAGTAATACTGATTTTGTGCAAAAGATATACAAAAATATGTATTTAAGTATATAATCATATATATATGTGCATATTTATGTGACAGATGCACATTATGTATGTGAATGTAAATAAAGGAGATACCTCCATACTGCATTCCACAATGGTTGTACTAATTTACATTCCCACCAAACTAATAATCATAGCTATTATCACCAAGTGGTAGTATTATAGGATATTTATATAATCCAGATTTTCTGTATCATGTGCACTTTTTTTTGTATAATTAACCTACAATTACATGAGGAACATTATGTTTACTAGACTCCCCCAATCACCAAGTCTCCCCCACATACCCCATTACAGTCACTGTCCATCAGAGTAGTAAGATGCTTTAGAATCACTACTTGTTTTCTCTGTGTTGTACAATCCTCCCCGTGCCCCACCCCTACATAATGTCTGCTAATAGTAATGCCCCCCACTTTTTCCCCCCTTATCCCTCCCTTCCCACCTATCCTCCCCAGTCCCTTTCCCTTTGGTAACTGTTAGTCCATTCTTGGGTTCTGTGAGTCTGCTACTGTTTTGTTCCTTCAGTTTCTTCTTTGTTCTTATACTCCACAGATGAGTGAAATCATTTGAAACTTATCTTTTTTCCACCTGGCTTATTTCACTGAGCATAATACCCTCTAGTTCCATCCATGTTGTAGCAAATGGTAGGATTTGTTTTCTTCTTATGGCTGAATAAAATCCCATCGTGTATATGAACCACATCTTCTTTATCCATTCATCTACTGGTGGACACTTAAGTTGCTTCCATTTCTTGGCTATTGTAAATAGTGCTGCAATAAACATAGGGGTGCATATGTCTTTTTCAAACTGGGCTGCTGCATTCTTAGGGTAAATTCCTAGAAGTGGAATTACTGGGTCAAATGGTATTTCTATTTTGAGTTTTTTGAGGAGCCTCCATACTGCTTTCCACAATGGTTGAACTAATTTACATTCCCACCAGCAGTGTAGGAGGGTTCCCCTTTCTCCACAACCTCACCAACATTTGTTGTTGTCTTTTGGATGGAGGCAATCCTTACTAGTGTGAGGTGATATCTCACTGTGGTTTTAATTTGCATTTCTCTGATGACTAGGGATGTGGAGCATCGTTTCATGTGTCTATTGGCCATCTGAATTTCATCTTTGTGTGTGCACTTTTATAATAAGAAAAAATGTTATTTTAAGGAATCACAAAATTTAGCACAGGACCTATTTTAGGGTGATGACTTTGGGGGAAGAGAAAGTATATGCCTTTGATTCCATGCAGACCTGGATTTGAATCTGAGCTTCACCAATCACAAACTGTACCTCAGTTATAATATCTGCAAAGTGGGAATAATACTCCTACCTTTTAGAGACTGCTGTGATAATGAACAAGATTTTATATCACTGCATCCAGCCCAAACATAGGGCTGTGCTCAACAGAGTTCCCTTTGCTCTTCCTTGTGTGGGTGATGGTCTTCCTCCAAATTTATTCCTACAGCACTAATAGTACCATCATTTAATAAAATGATATCTTGCATCATTAACTACTATTTCACATATTTGATCTTATCACCCCAAGACTACAGGTTTCCTAAGGAGCTGGTACCACATCTTAATGATTGAAACTATCAAAAATTGAAGAGCAGCTCTTCTGAAGGAGAGTTCCTTGACACAGGACATGTGCAAGCAGAAGCCGGGATGCTGGAGAAGACAACCTTCAGTCCTGAGGCCCAGTGACTGTGGTCCTTCAATACATCACCCATTAATTGCAACTAGTGTTGTGCTGGTCATGTGGTGGACACTGATTAATAATCACTTAGTTGCTAAAATAAATACAAATATATTTGAGGGTAGGGTCTATCTAGAATCCTCAGACACATTACTTTTTTTTTTGGTATCATTAATCTACAATTACATGAAGGACATTATGTTTACTAGACTCCCCCGTTCACCAAGTCCCTCCCACATACCCCTTCACAGTCCCTGTCCATCAGCATAGTAAGATGCTGTAAAATCACTGCTTGTCTTCTCTGTGTTGCACAGCCCTCCCCGTGCCCACCCCCCCACACTATACATGCTAAGCGTACTGCCCCCTTTCCTTTCCCCCACCCTTATCCCTCCCTTCCCACCCATCCTCCCCAGTCCCTTTCCCTTTGGGTAATTGTTAGTCCATTCTTTGGTTCTGTGATTCTGCTGCTGTTTTGTTCCTTCAGTTTTCCTTTGTTCTTATACTCCACATATGAGTGAAATCATTTGGTACTTGTCTTTCTCTGCCTGGCTTATTTCACTGAGCATAGTACCCT